GGGAGGCGGCGGTGGGGAAGAGACAGAAATCTTTAATAAATAAAAAAAATAAAAAACAAAAACTCTCAAGCCTAAAAAAAAAAAAAAAGATAGAACATCCCGATAGAACATCCCCATTGTCTCAGTGTGTGGGTGCACCCCTCGCGGTCCTGAGTTCCTTGCTCTTGCTCTCTCTCCTTCTGCTCCTGCTTAAGACAGTATTACTCCAGTTCACGTTAAGTGCCATATTTTCTTAGCCCATCCACTTCTGGTGTGCAGCTGTACTGACTTACTTACCTTGCATGTCAAGGATAGTTCTGAAATATAGATGGATATGCAGGCATCTCTATGTATGCCGTATTTGACTTTTTTCATTTGAACCCAAGTGATGATGCTGAATCATATGATCATTCTGCTTTAATGTTATTTCTTTGGAGGAAACCCCAAACTGATTTCCATATTTGATAGGTTAATCTATTCTCTCACATTCTGGGACTTTGTCTTCTTTTTCCTCCAACCTCTTGTTATTATTTTGATGGTCCTCATTCTTACATGGGCAGAATGGTCTTCTGGCGTGGATTTGGTCTTCAGTTCTCTCAAGGCTAAAGATGTTGAACATTTTCTTGTTAATGTTGCTTGTGGAAACTCCTGCTTGCCAAAATCTTGCCTTTGGTCACAACTGAACTACTGCATGCCATTTAATTGACACAATTTGAGGTGCCTAATTAGCACTAAGTAAGTGATAATTTAGAAGGTACTGACCCACATCATTTATACTACCCTGTCTACTATATCCACTTCCATCTGCAACCTCCATATCATCATCGACATAGGTTAAAGGACCATAATCTGTTAAAAACATCCAGGGTGCAAAACCTTTGTTCCTAGTCAACTGCTTTAGTTTAAAGTCTGAAATTATGTATAGGAAGCGAGATGAAGCTTATTTCTAGAGTCAGTTAATGCTGTATATAGCCATTAATATGACAACAGAAAAGTTTTATATACATACACATACACAATCTTATGAATGTTGATATAATGTTTAGATCTTCAGAAACGTTTTAAAGAATGAAATGGAAACCAAAGGATAAGATTAATGGCAATAGAAAAAATTTTTTGTTTTCGTTTGTCCCAGAGATTTTGGATTTTCCTTTAGCAAGCATACATGGGTTTAGAGATGGAGAGAACCATAATCCAACTACACAGCCATCTTAATTTTTTAATTGAATTGAGACCACAAAAGGACCATTTGCCTTTTATGTATGTAGAGAACAGCAGAAACAAATATTTGAGAAGATATATGAAATTCTACTCTGCTGAATGATGCTAAGGAAATGCCCACTGATGAAGTTTCTGAGATCAATTAATGACTTTCATTGTAATAGAAACTCCAAACAGCCAGTCCCTACACTAGGGATAAATCCTAGTCTCATTGCTAGTGGCCCCACAGACTTCCCCAAACAAACAAATGTCACCCATGAATTCATTCAGAGAGCGTAGTTGGTCCTATGCAGACTCAGGCTAGATACAGTGGAAGGGCCTTGATCCTACCTCAAAGTGATATGCCAGACTTTGTTGACTCCCCGTAAGAAGCCTTTCACTCTCTGAGGAGTGGTTGGTGGGGAGAAGGAGGGGAGGGGGAGTAGGAGGAAGGGAGGCAGTGGGAACTGGGATTGGTATGTAAAATGAGAAAAAATTGTTTTAAAAATAATAAAATTTAAAAATAAAAAAGAAAGAAACCCCAATAAAGATTCTGGCACTGACATGAACTTGGCAGAGTTTTAGGCAAATACTTGAAGTTAAGTAATTATGTATGTGGATATAAGGATGAAAAATTTCGTTATCAGTACTAGAGTCATCAAATGTAAGCACAGGTTACTCAAGTTGGGTTCCAGTCTACACATCTCTTGCAGTGCAGTTTTCTACCATTGAGAGAAGCAAAGAGCAGCTGGCACAGCACAGGGAATAGCTCTATTTTTCAAAAATGTCATCAAGTCATGGCCTCCAGATTTTCTATAGTTTGTGCTAGAAACTGAACCTAATATAAAGAACACTTCTTGTGTGATGGTACGTTTGCCTCAGAAACTAGGTCTTTTCCCCAAATCTCTAGAAAGCGCATGTACTTAGAGGTGTGGTTTTCAGAGAGCAGACTAATTAATGTAACCTGATGTCACATGGGCAGGTCCTCATCCTGCTGGACTGCTGTCCACCTGAGAAAGGTAAGGCACACAGAGACATGGGACACTCAAGGGAGGGGCAAAGGAAAGATGGCCATGTCTGGCCACAGTGCAGAGGAGAGCGTCTAAAGCATGCTCTCACATGTGTGTCCTTTGAAACTGGGAGAAATGAATCCTGGCTCTTTGAGCTGCGCAGTCTGTAGAGCATCTTACTGGAGCTCATGCCAGAGAATCCAGAGAGCTATGGGCAATGGCTGTTCTGAAAAGGGAACTGAAAGTCTTCCATCCAAGTCTTCATCTCTAATCTGTACCACAGGAATATGACTGAATGGATTCTCTCCATTGCTGCATCAGATGGACACACAGAGTAAGTGTATATATGTGTGCAGTACAAACTAATATGATTACTTGAGGGTTTGTAAAAATTCTTGGTGTTGTTTGTCCATTGTCCCTCCTTCTCCTTCTTTTTTGACCTCTCTCTCTTTTCCTAAGCAGTGATATTCCATTAATTTGTGTATCTGCATATGTCCCTGTGTGGTTTCAGGCATGTTAGTGTAGTTCCTAAGGAGGCCATAAGAGGGTACCAGATTCCTGTGATTGAGACAAGGAAGTTGCTATTTAGTAGATGTGCATCCAGGGAGGTAAATTTGGATGCCCTTCATGAGCAGTTAAATGCTCTTAACCACTGAGCCATCGAGGTTTTTCGTTGTTGCTGTTTTCCTCTGTTTCCTTTAGATATTAATCCCTTGTTGAATGTTGTAGGCATATCTAGCAATAAACTCCCTGTGCTATATCTCATGTGTTCTGATAGATTCATTTCTAGGAATTTAAAGTTTTATCCTTTGCTTTGATCTTTAATCATTTAAATGTGAATTGTTCAAACTTAAGTGTTTACATAATTTCAAATATTTCTCTTTCTGTTGGTTTCTAATTATTTTCATTATGGAATAATGAAACACAGAAAACATTATTTTTTATGTTTGTTAGTTTTGTTCTGTGTCCTTAAATATGATGTATTTTTGGGAAACTACATGACTTCTCAATGGGTTGTTTCCTTTAGTTACTAGCACTGACTCCTTAGATCCTCTGTGTTTCTATTGCAGATGCTGGTCATCTCCTTGAGGATGCCTTCTTATTGCGATTGTTTCGAGTATCATTTTTTCACTCTTTCACCTCTGTGTGTTGACATCATTGTATGTGAAGTCTTTTGAAAAATATCAACATAGACATCTGAAACCTTTTATTTGAAGATTTCCTTTCAATTTGTAAGCATAATTTATACCATACTGTACATATTGAGGGGTACCATGATGCATGCAAACATTGCTGAACATTCAAACCAAGGTGATTATATTTCTCACCTAAAATACTCTCCATCTTTTATGGTAAGAATACTTACAATTATTTCTTGTGGTTGTTTTACAATATAAAATACTTCATGAAATTTATTTTTGTATCCATTTGCAGCTTAGTGCCCTATAAGAAAATATCCCATATCTATCTCTTCCACAATGTTCCCATGGAAACCAACATTTTCCTATCCATCCTTGTGATATTAACTTCT